CAAACTTTAGAGAGCTGTTTGTATGCAGCTGGGACTGAATTTACAGACTACCTTTCTCTGACTTGCTAAAAAGCTAAGGATTGACAACCCCTTTCATCCTGCATTATCCAGTGTAGCTTTTAACTCCAAGAAAACTATGTTCACAAATTGATGCTCTGCTCCTTTGGGGTTGGTGCAGAAACATTAAATTGTACTAAAATATTCATATGTGAGTGCATTTAGCTGAAAGCAATTGATGTGCTTTTCCCTAGAGAGAGGAAAAAAAAAAAACCTGCTGTATGGCCCTGCACTCCAGCAGACACCCCAACCACACTTAAGAGTAATTACATAGCTTGCTGATCAAAGATTCTTAAAGTGAAAAAGAAACTGTATTTGGGATGTAGTTCAGTAATGTGTGCTTCTTGAATGGAACATATTCAACTGCATCGAAGTAGTACATACTGGATAATTGTTTGATATACAGTGTAATATATATGAACTGGTGTCAAGCCAGAAAATATTTTATTGGGTTAATAGCTTGTAATTGGAAGGAATCTCTTGTATGAAGCAATTTTCATTACAAAGATTTCTCTCTAATTTCATTGTCCTTTCACTCTTGCAAAGAAAATAAAATATCTGAGCTGCCTTTAAAAAGAGTACGTGTGCCAAAGAGGTTTATTAAACCAGCCTGTTTAAAAGCATGCCACTGGTAGCATGATAAATTGAGGTACACTTGAAGGTTTTCAGTGTAATTCAAAAATTGGCGTAAAAATCAATAGTAGCTGACGGCATGCTTGCAAAGTAACTACCTCATCTTGTGTTGCACCTGTGGATGCACAGCACTCTCTTATAGCAGCATTCAAAGTCACTGTAAGCGGCAACTAAAAATTGTTCTTGTGGTTCTCTTAAGCAAATGTACCTTAACTGCCCCAAGGCAGCCTAAGGCATTTTCAGATATTCTCATAAGTAAAAATGAAGTAATATTATATGCCACAAATTATTCTATAAATAATTGGAAGAGTCAGTATGCACAGGAAAATAACTGCATTGGTATATTGGTAATTATAATCATCCACATAGAGCACTCTTGTGACATTTATCCAAACAGCGTGTAACTGGCTATATGGATTCTGGAGCCAGTTGTGCAAATTCGTGCACGTGAAGTCTCATGGACTTGCTGTAGATGCTAATACGTAAGTTGGGTACGTTTAAAGCAGAAAGAGGAGTTTAGGGGATGGCTAAGGGGGATTTTTTCATTTTAATGATTAGCATACAATGAGTCTCTACAAGACATAGCACAGTCATGTTTGTTGAAAAAACAATACAAGGCTAGATTAACACTTTAAATAGCAAATGAGAAGTTGGATTCTTGATTTGGAATCTTGCCTTTGAATAGGATAAATTTGGGACTTGGAGTTGTGTTTCTTTTTAGGGTGGTTGCGATGCAAATCTGCGCTTACAAACTTTGAGGTCTCTGTCATGGTCCTGGCTCCCCCTGGAGTCTTGTGGGATATTGTGTGGCAGGACAAATTAAAACACCCTTGGCCTTTGTGCCAGTTTGCTGGCAGAATCAGCTTTGGCTGCTGCTGCAGCCCTTGTGAGAAGCCTAATGGCCATGTTACGTGCTGACGCGCCCACCTTCGCATGTTCCCATTACTGACATACCAAGCCCTTTCTGCAATAGCACGTCTTTAATCTAAGTACTTTCTGATGGTGCCTCCCTGTCCTCTGCTTCGTACGCTTTTAGGCTATTCGGTCCATTTGACTTCCCGTGCTGCGTGTTTCCTCCCCTGTGTTCTTTCTCACCATTAGCTCTCTTCTCTGGTGTCCCTTCCCTTGTGCTGATGTCCACTATCCACTTCATGAAAAATAAAGATTTGTGGCATGGCTGTGACGTACGTACAGTAATTATTTCCTGTGTGAAATTAAGTTACTGTGAGGTAAGACAATTGCCTAATCTGATGCCGTGCCCTTATACCACCAAAACTTTCACTTTCCTTGACTTCAGTTGCTTTTTGGCACTTGGTTTGTGTCAGACAGTGCAGTGAGCCCCTTGGTACAGAACCTGTGTGCTGTTTTGTTACACCGTTCTCATGTGGCACAGCGCTGGCAGCAGCCCTTCAGTGAAAACCTGCCTGTGCACAAGCACCAGGGAGTTGATAAATGCCGCTCCACGTTCTGGACTTTGATGTAAGTGCCTGTAATTGCAGGCTGTGGGTCAGCCACCTGACAGCAGTAATTAGAGCAGCTTCCAGGGATCCAAAAAGCAGGAACTTGAAGTTGGTGTAGAGCCATCTTTGTTGGCACCTGAGACGTGTGATCCAGACTCTGCTTCATGCTGTTTTGAGCCTTGGCGTGGGTCTCCCACATAGATGAGCTCTGAAGAACGGAGATCTCCTTCCAGACCTTAACGTGCTGCAATGACAGGCGTGTCGCATAACACAATTGGAAGTGATGCTGCTCAGTGGTACCGATCTGCTTTCATTTTCCTCCCTTACTTACCTTGGGGCTACAGTCCTGACCTGGGACTTTGAATGCTAACACAGTAGGAATGATAGGACTCAGCAAAAGGCATGACAGAAGTTAATGATTTCAGGGAAAAAATCAAAACAAGGGTATTACTCTGAAAATAACGTAGAGATACGAATTTCTGAGTCTTCTATGACCTCTCGGGACGACCAGTTGAATTCTCTCCTTGGAGAGCACTGAACAGTCGTGAATCTTTATCATTCAGACCTTGGGGGTCCTTTGTTTCCCTCCTACTAAACTGTAGAATAGATTTAAACTTAAGATTTAAGCAGTCAAATCTATTTTACAGTGTGGAACTGTTGATAAGAAACATGTTGTCCTATGTGTTCTTTGTATGAAAACATTACTAAGGTGATCCACCGTAAGTGTGACAGCCTACTGAATGGACCAGTTATCTTAGCCAGAGAGCCAAAAGCACATAACCTAGAAAGTCATGGCTTAGATGCATAATAAAGGCTTTTTAGACAAGCCTGGTGATTTACAAATGTCCTTTTAATGAAACATCCTTGTCTTTCCTAGATATTTTAATGGAATATATACATAGGCATCTGGCTCCTGGTTAGCTGGATTCTTTCCAAAGACTGAACTTCACAACGTTAAACAGACTGATAAGAGTATCTGGTAGTCTAGATGACTGGCACTTAATGAATTGCTCTAAAAAAAATCAAATTACAGTAATGTGTTTTTAAAAAGAGCTTGTATTAAAGACTATATGATGTTAGAATAATTTCTGCTGTAACATCTGTTCTTTTATTTGGTATAATTAAAATATTGTATTCTTACCGTGAGTTCTTACATGGACATATTATATTACATTGCAGCTGTGGTTAAAACGGATTGACCTCCAATAGTAATCTGCTCAGTAAAAAGCTACTGAGGCTAAGAAATTTCTGAGTGTCTTCAACAGCTGTGTGTTTTTGTGGAAACGCATAGACTAGATTCTGTGTTTCAATTTCAAAGCAAGCCCTTTTAATGGGAAATGCTTTGTTCCTGCTCTGTTTTCCCTCCCCTTCAATTTTTACAGGAGATCGCTTTCGTAGGGAAGTGTAGAAAAGCTTCATAAATTTTCTTTACCTATTCCTATTTAAAAACCAATATAGTAGGTGAAACGTGTAGCTGTAGAAACATCGGGAAGCAATCATCTTTTTTTCTTTAATTGATATAATGACTATCAGGCCTGTATGAAAAAAGCGGTCTGCACGGTCTCTGTGTTCGAACACCTTCATTTGCCAGCCTCCTCTGTAGGTCTGTGCCTGTTCCACAGCTGTGCTTTGTTCTGTCACGGTCAAAGCCACTTAACTGTAATGCACATCTTCAGTTGCGCAGGGGTAAGATTTTTTGACCCTCTTACCCTCCCTGGCCTCAAAAATAATTTCTTGAATTAGATTTGTAAGTTCCTAAATATGGACTAACCTTGGTATTTTTAAAAGAGAAATTCTGTTAGTATTTGAGGTTGCGTCTTTTCTAAGCAGGTATAAATACCACCTTCCAATTGGTTTTGACAGATGATGCCCTAACAGTTTCCTCCTATTGAATGAGTTGGTGAAAAGTACTTTCCTCGTTTTTCTTCTGTAAAATTAGGTAGATAAACAGTACAGGTTTGACGGCCACTTGGACTTGTGGTGGTGGGAAAACTGTCACGGAGCTGAAAATAATACTTGGTTTTGGATAGATTATAGCCTGGATGACTTTCAGCCCGAGGGGAAAAAGACCCAACTTTTCTGCTGTGAATTAAAACTGTCGATGTAGATCTATTTGCCTATAAATTTCCATCTGTCTTGAATGTAAGTCTCTCTAGAGATGCTAGATGGGGAGCCCCAAAGTGTAAAGACCTACTCCGTGTCGGTGCCTACCTGGGAAGCACTTCTTCACTCATCCTGTGTAGGAGTTGATAGTGAATGGGGGAAGAAAAGCTTTGGGGCGTATGAACCCTGAGGCTTGGGGTAAATCATAGAAACGGGCTACAAGTGTGTAGCGCAGTAGCCCACTTCAGTATCTGAAATGTTTCATCCTGTCATATAGGGAACTTTGTAAAGGTTTAAACACCCGAATTTCAGCTTTGTGTGTTCTGTCTTATTTAAAGGATCGTAGAGGCTTCAAACAAAAAAGCCTAGGTTTTCTCTTAGGCAACCGCATTATCCGTTTGTGGGTTATCTTACTTAATATTTGCGTTGGGAATCTCCAGGGTCATGGGTAACACTGATTGCCCTGTCCTCTAGCTGAGCAGTGTCTTATGTTTGATGCAGATCTCTTTTCTTTCTTTTTTCTTTTTTCCTCATCTGTCTTTGCCAGATTGCTCCTTTGGGATTCTCCTTTTACAGTTACATTGCATCCCCAGGTGGGGAAGGGAACCAATCATCAGCTGCCTTTAATATTGAAATCTACCGTAATGTAAAAACTCCTGCGTGTAATTGATTTTGAGTAAGGTTTGTGAGAGCTTACTGAAACTATGTCGTGGGTACCAAAAATGTCTCATTTTTGTTTTCTTCTAGGAACTTTATATTGCCGTGGGAATATCTGGAGCAATCCAACACTTGGCTGGGATGAAAGACAGCAAGGTAGATAACGATGGGTGTGCTAGAAGAGACTTTTGAGGAAGGAAATGAGTTGACTTCCTTGCTCTTACATCAGTACTTTAGCCAGTTTTCCAATTTTTTTTAATGTCAAAATGGCCAGTTTTCTGCTTCTTTAAAACACGCTAACCCTCCAAGCCTGGCCAAAGAAAGATACTGTGGGAAAACATCTAACACAGTGGAAAACCATTGCACTGCAACCCGAAGTGGTAAGTAGCAGCAGCTAATTGACTTTGTTTATTTAAAAAAAAACCCAACAACCAAACCCACATATGCCTGAATTCTATACAATAGTTCCATTTGCGTTTATTTCAGAGTATGACGTATTAATTCATGCATAACAATGTGCAATTTGAATTATGAACTTACTATTCCATAAAGTGAAAGATGTCTCTGACATTCCTGCATTTAGCCATTCAAATGGAAACCTATTATAAAACGGCAGTAAAACTTTAAAAGGTTTAACTCTTTAGTAGCCAAAGCAAATAATCCGAAATTGGAATTGCCAGTTTGGTCCACAGCGCAGTGTTTGGCAAGCGGAGCAGAAGCACCTGCTGAATCATACTATCAAATGCCAAACATCAAAAACTGGAGGTTGGCCTGCCTCCCCGCAAGTAATTTTAGAAAAAGGATATATATATTTTTTTTTTTTCTGTTTCCAGGGAGTGAACTTACACTTTCTGGCAGAAACCAGACCCAGAACTTTGACTAGCTTATCAAACTGAGGAAACGGTTTGCAAAACTTTACAGGCAGGTCCTTGTGTTTAACCAGTGGCGGACTAGTGAGTTTATGTGACTGGTAATTGTCCTCACAAGCCAGCCTGTGTGGTAGGATGAGCTGTGCTTTCTTACAATTTAGTTCTTTTTGCATATATTATTTAAATAATTTTTTTGGAAAATCATGTAAGCTGGATTTGGGATACAGGACCCTTTTCGGGGCCTCAGTCTTCTAAAATCAGGGACTCAAGTGGTGCTAGCATTAGTCAACACGGTGGAGAAAAACCAACCAGAATTAGAAATTAAGGATGAGTGATGGGCAGGGATGAGGGTCACTATTGAGAAGTGTGAATAATAGCATCTGTAGCGCAGTGTACTCTCACTGGTCTTAGTGGAACAGCGTCGCCGTAGCCTCTCCTACTCAGCACAGCAAGGGGGAGACAACGGGGACAGTCAGACTGTGGGAGAGCCTGCGAGAGCGGCACTGGTGCGGTACTACCAGGGTCGTCCTCGGCTCCCTCTGGACTCTGCTAGTAGCTGATGGGCCCCACAGTATTAAGAGTGTCTTTGTTTCGAGGCGTTTAGTCTCCAGCTGTGCTTTTGGGTGAGGGAGAGGATGGGCGGGTGGGATTAGTAGCAGCCGTTGACTGAGAACTGTGTATTTAAAGCTGCTTAAAACTTGATCTGGCCCTGTTTGTATTTATCTCCTGCCTTATCTCAGTTAAGACTCCCAGCAGTACGGGGAGCCTATTACTTTAAGTGCCAGAATTTCCTTTGATATAAAAATATCGAGCAGCAATATTGTCCTGTACTGTAACAGCAAAACCTCTGCTTTTTTGGCTTTTCCAATGCCACGTTTGATATTTTGAGGCATTCTTTTATAGGAAATAAGGACAGATGAAATTTGCCGACATGAGATGCATACTTAAGAGTGTCATTTCTCCCATATATCACAGTTTTTCTAGTGTAAACAAACGTGTATTGTAAAATCCAGTTTTACTTGTGTTTGAAGTGTGTTCTGCTTTCCTTTCAGCCAAAGCATGTAGGTGTTGTAGTTACTGAAAAGATCCAATTTTTACAAACATAAAGCATTATGCAGCCATGGGAACTCTCTGGAGTGTCCCCCATCTTCCCTCGGCGCTGTGAATTATCTGGCATTGTGAACTCGTACACTTCAGAATATGTTTTCCAAAGTCGGCAGATGCTTTCTACCGAGTGAAAGGTGTAATTTATTTGCCCTTTTACAGCAAGGTAGAAAATGCAGCTTTTGAGAAGACCTGGAGAGTTGTAATTGCTTTCTTTCCGTTTTTAATTCCCTCATGAGGTAGTTACAGCATCTTTTCTTTCTAAGAGACTTAACTTGCAAAGTTCTGTTGCAAGCAAGGTGCTGCTTTTGCTTCTTACCATGGAAAGCCTGATTTAGCGATGAGGTAGAGAACCAGACCTTACTAAAAAGTTACTTCAGCTAATGGAGACAGAGGAAGGACTAGGCTGCCAAACTAACGCTTGAGGCGGTTTTGCAAGCACCTGGTGTTAACTATTTTTGTGGTGAGGACAGAGCCGGCAGCCCTCAAGGTGTCGCTATTTGCTGGCCTCAGCCGGCCCTCAGCGTGTGTCACCCCTGTGGCCTCATGCCCCTGTGAACGGTTATAGAATCGTAGACTAGTTTGGGTTGGAAGGGCCCTCTAAAGGTCATCTAGTCCAACCCCCTGCCGTGGGCAGGGACATCTTCAACTAGAGCAGGTTGCTCAGAGCCCCGTCCAACCTGACCTGGAATGTTTCCAGGGATGGGGCATCCACCACCTCTCTGGGCAACCTGTGCCAGTGTCTCACCACCCTCAGCGTAAAACATTCCTTCCTCACATCTAGCCTAAATCTCCCCCCCTTTAGTTTAAAGCCATTCCCCCTTGTCCTGTCGCAACAGGCCCTGCTAACAAGTTCGTCCCTGTGTTTTTTGTGAGCCCCCTTTAAGTACTGATAGGTTCTGCAAAGCATGGTAGGGCCTCAGAGTATAGTTAGAGAAAGTCTTTATTGAGCGAATATCCTCGGGTATCACAGCCTGGGTTTTGCTTCCTGCACTGTAGAATTGTCAGTGGAGGCTTGCATTTGCAAATGGGGTAACTGGAATAAAAACAATAAAACTTTGGGAAAAATATTTCAGGGGAAGCATTACTGGAATACTTGCAGGTCTTTGCTTATGAGCTGGCAAGAGGGCGGCAGCAGTGCTCTGCTGTAGGTACTTCCTTCTTGCATATATGATGTGGTCCTTCTTTATCGTGAGTCACAGGATATGAATGACCTGTGAAGAAAAAAACATTTCTGTGGGCCTAAAAACACAGGATTTGCAAACTTGTATTGTTGAGTTACTGCCACTGGGCGTATGCTACTGAGCCATTAATTTTGTTGGACAAGTACATTCAGTGGAGGGAGTAAAACAGAGACACGTGATCTGTGGCTACCTGGGAAGGGCAGGTAAGTGTATCAAGGAACGGTTGGGTTAGAGCTCTCCCGAGGAGGCTTGTTGCCTTGAACCGGAGTTCGCACTGGCAGCGTGTAGGTGGAAGGGCAGTATCGGAGTGCTGTGGTTTAGACCCCTGCTTGGTGTAAGGCTCCTTTTATGAGCTGTTGTCAGTTTGTTCCCCCCCGCCCTCCTTCCTGGAGTGCTCCCCATCCTGTTGTAGATTTTGGTGTGGACACCCATGCTTATTTTGCTGGAAGCTGTCACGGACATTTACAGAACGCTTTACCTGTATAGCAGAGTTTAAACCAAGACAGACATTT